CTGACCACTTATCTTACTTGTGGCACTTTGGCTTATGAGGACTTTTGAGATTTTGTGGCTTCTCATGCCTCACCTCACCCACTTCATTCATAGCCATGTCTTGCTGCTTCCTGTTCTGTGGTTTTCATTAACACAACCCTCCTAATAATAAAGAGGTAGTGGAGATTGTAATAATGAGTATGATAGCTAACATTTTTCAGTACTGACTATGAGGTAGACACTAAGCTATGCTATTTAAGTATACTTTAAGTGTAACCCTCACAGCATGTCTATGAAGTGGGTACTATCATTATTCCCATAAGGAACAGAGCTTTAGAGAGCTTAACATGCCCGAGGTTACTCAGCTAGAAAGTGATAGAGCTAGAATGCAAACCCAGAGCCCATGAATATTACTATGCCATAACATGTCCTTTTGTACCATATGCATATTAAACATGATTCAGAGGGAGAAAAAAAGCCAATCCTAACAAAGTTCTCTAAACTCTCAAAGCCTATATGTCTAATAGCTATCTTTCTAATATTATGGTTTTATCATTTTTTAATTTTGCCTCATTCAAGTTGGAGATAACATTTGCACTATAGTCCTATTTTTAAAGATATTGATACTAGAGTTGGTTTTGCATGGCTCTAGACACACACACACACACACACACACACGTACTCTGGACATAGACTAAGAGAGCAGCAGTTGAAAGCAGCAATGCCAACTGAGACTTCTATTAGACCAAGATCAAAATTAAAAAGAGAGAGTGGAAAAGGAAGAAAACTAACAAGTGTTTATTGAGCTTTTCATGTTATCAGTTACTGGGTTAAAATGTTCATTTAATCCTTACAATAACTCTATTATTATTCTCATTTTACATGGGAGAAAAATAAAGTGTGAAGAGGTTATTACTCCTATTTAGCAGATGAAGAAACAAAGGATTAGAAACAGATCAAAATCACATAGCAAAAGTGTTAAAGCCAAGCTGAAAACCCAGGGTTAGTCAAATTCCAAAGCCTGTGGAATAAATCACTGCAGGTGGTAGATAGACTCTAGGGCAGCTCCTGTGATTCCCACCTTCTGGTATTCACACCTTTGTGTAATCCCCTCTCCTTGAGTGTGAATGAACTTTGTGACTTGCTTCTAAATCGTAAAACACAGCAAAGATGATAGAATATCACTCTGTCTTGTAAGCCAACTCACTTTAGAGAGTTTAGAGACACTCCTTGCTAATGTGATAAAGTAAGCAGCCATGTCGGGAAAACCTATAGGGCAAGGAACTGCAGGTTCTTGCTGCTCTAGGAGCTGAGGGCAGCCTCCAGCCAGCAAGAAGCTAGGGCTCTCAGTCCTACAACCACAAGAAAATAAATTCTGCCAACAACCTGAGTGACACTGAAAGCAGATTCTTCCCCAGGCAAGCCTCCAGATGAGAATACAGCCTGACTGATGCTTTGATTGCAGCTTTATGAGACCCTGAGCAGAAGACCAAGCTAAGCTGTGCCTAGACTCTTGACTCACAGAAACTGTAACATAATAAATATGTGTTATTTTAAACTGCTAAGTTTGTGGTAACTTGTACACAGCAATAGAAAACTAACACACCACACTACCTTGGTTTTCCCTATGCTTGGAGCACAGTAAATTCTTAGTAAATTGTAGCTGCTATTATTATGATAGTCAAAACAGAAATTTGGAATATCAGAGTCAAAGAGAAATGTAACAGAGAAGTTTAATAGAATTAAATAATTGTTTCCAAAGTAATCAAGCAGCTGATTTAGAAGACACAAACAGATGATGGTATGTTGAAAACTTGTATATTACTCCCAACAATTATTGAGTGTATTATTATCATGTGAAATGTTATAAAAGTTATAGTGGTGCTTATAATCACATTTAGGTCTGATGTCTTACACCACACTCAAAGTAAATTGGAAAGTTTTCCTATGTTAGATATGAATAAATATTAAAACATAGTTTTATGTTCTAATCACATTGCTATAAATTGTGATTTTTAAACATTATAACATTTTAAAATAGCTTAAATATAATGGATAAAATAATTCAGGGCATTAGATAAAAAAACCAAACCCTCATGAAACTACCATCTGTATTAAGTTCATGCATGCATGTGGATTTTGCTTACCAAAGATAATTTATAGTAAACACACAATGTAATTATACATATTTAGCTATAGATTAGGTTAGAGAACTTGAATGGACTTCCACTTGATAGATTCAAGGTTTGCTATCGTGGAAAAAAGAGGGGCTAGTGCTCAAGTCTAAATTTCTGAGTGTTCCTTCTACCAGTGCCCCCTCCCCTTCTGTATTTATATTGGTATGTGAATGTATAGTTTCTGTCAAATAAGTCATTAAAAATGGTGTTCACTGATTGAGTAGACAGGTTAATGTCACTACTGTCATACACACAAATATGCACTGAACATACAGTAAGCATAAACACAGGCCCTTTATAGGTGTTACAGCATTAGAAAATTTGCCCATTCTCCCTCTAATGACAATATATGACCCTGATGACTATCACCATTCATAATTCTTAATAGGTTTAATAAATACTATGCCAAATACAGTGTTAATAACATGGTAGCTAAATATTTTTTTTGTATTTGCTTCTTTTGAGGGCAATGATGATCTCTATCAGTTTTTAATTTTCTGTCATCTGTGCTTTCTGGAAATGAAAACTAACAATACATGCATACATATTTATTTGTGGTTTGGCTTTTCTTTCTAATACTGAAATGATTTAAGGGATAACAAGTGAATATATTAATTTGAAATTTATCTACCTTTAAATTAAATTATTTGTCCAGTTAACAGTTTTTTGTTTTATTTTCTTTTGTCTTTGGCAAACCTGATCATCACCATTTACTTTTCTATTTAGACTCGTGATTATGAATTGTTCTGTGGGAAAGTAAAAGCAAAAATCATGCTGGATCTCTGAAATAACAAAGCATAATACTCAGTGTGTATTTTCTTCCTATAGTGTGTTATTTACAGATGGATAATGAGTAAAGCAAACCAGTCTGTCCTGTTCTAGTCTCTGGGAGATACCTTATGGCTACTATTTACTCCAAGTGACAACTAGAGCAACTTGGAAACTTTTTTGGAACAAGGCAGGGCATAAATGCAAATATTTTTTAAAAGGTCATACTGAAGGTTTAAGGCAGCTTTCCAACTGTTGCTGACTTCCTGATGCAGATTGAAAATATAGGAACTTGCTCAATTCATTTCTTGGTATCATCTATGAACTGATTCTAGACTTAAAATGAAATTATTTTCCTCTCTGGCCTTGGATGAAATTTGGTGAATCTTTCCTTAACATTTTCGTAACATAAACTCACGTGGTTTTACATGAGAAGCGATATTTAGGAGGATTTCTTTATTATTTTATAGCTAAATTTATTTCATATTGGGGATTGATATTCTCACTTGTCTTACTACAAAATGTAGAGAATTGAATTTAGAAAAACATAATGTAAGAATGTCCTCTCAACTATTATTGTTGCTTCCTTCTCTTTTGTCCTTCCCTTCCCCCAACTTGAGCTCTTTAGTGGGTAAAATACTGTTTCACAAAGAGCTATGTTTGCAGTTTTCAAAGTGACTTCTTGGAAGTGAAACTTGCATTAACGTTGTTTTCAATCTCCAACTGTAAAAATTACCGTTTTCACTTTTGATTTATTAAAACATACTAAGTATCTTATAAATGCCTGAGACTTGGACAGATATTTTTAGGCAAAGAAATAGTTTCAAAATTGAAAGAAATCATCCTAAAATTAAGATATAAAAACTCGAATAATTGAGGGCCCTTCTTTCTCTCTTTAGAATATTCTAAGATGTTCCTTTTCTTGCAGATTTTATTTTATTGGATTAAAATTGCAAGCTCTCTAAAACCAGGTTGGAATTGGATTACTGTTAAGAATCACAATGAGGAGGTATTAATAATACACACACAGTTCAAGTATCTCAGTCAAATAGCAGGAATAACTGATTTCAGAGCCAGAAAAGTGTGATAAGTGGAGGAAGGCCTGGAACTAGAGGGAAACTTACAGAAGGAGTTGGTGAGGGACAATGTACTGTTTTCAGAGTCCAGGGAGTGGTTGGGGAGGGGGTGACCTTTAACCTTTCAAAGAACATTTATTTGGGAAATTCTAAACAGCGTTCATTTCGAGGGGGTGAAAGGAGAGGTGGAATGTTGTTGAAGTATCTACTTTAATAGGTCCTGGGTGATATGGGGGCGTTTGGCGTCGGTTGGTCTAGGGGGTGGGTGAGGGCCGAGCTGAGGGAACGCGCATCAGTGCCAGGGCAGGCGGAAGGCGGCACCTGGCTGCTCCCGAGAACAACTCGGGGTGGGGGAGGGGTCGTGGGGAAAAGTAGAGTTCAGCGTGGGTTTCTGTTTTCGAGTGTAGGACTATAAGAGGAGGCGCAGAGGAGTCGCGCGGGGTACCTCCCGCTCCGGGGGAACGCCGGCGGCGCCCGCGCAGTGCCCCTTCTCCCGAAGCGGCGAGCGCTCCCCCCGGCCCGGGCCGCGGCCCTCCCGCCCCGGCGGAGCCGCGCGGTGGATTGTGGGCTGGGGGCTGCGGCGGCCTCGCGGCTGCCTGCGGCGCGGTCTTCCCGGACCTAGCCGTGCCAAGCCGGGCCGGCGGGGCGAGGGGAAGCAGTGGAGCAGGGAGCAGAAGCGCTAGGGGTAGTGGTCGCGGCGCGGCGGCGGCTCCTCTGGAGGCCGGGGATGTGGGAGAGGCGGTGGCAGCAGCGGCGGAGGCGGCGCTGCGGACCCGGGGGAAACTGCTGGCTGACAGGACACCCGGGAGAGACGTGAGGGAGCCGCCGCTGCCGCCTCTCACCCCTGAGCGGAGCTGGGCTCGAGAAGGCGGCCCTGTGCTCCCCCGGCCGACCGGCCAG